CACGCAAAAACATTTGAACATATTTATTCCGTTCAATTTCTCCGTTTTCTAGCCGTTCGGTGGGTTTTCTTGCGCCCATATGCAAACGTTTTTCCAACACGGCAAACGTTCGATCTAAGAGTAGCAATCTGCAATATACCAAGCGAAATTTCTTTCCGTATTCCATTGTTGTAACGATTTTCGTTGGAAAAATTCCTTTGATGTCGGACGAGTACAGCTGCACATCGAGTAGGAATTCTCATCGACGGTCCGGGTAGTTTTTTTCCCAATGACCCGTCTGCTCTTTGAGATCAAAACAAAAGGTATCGGGTCTGAACTCCGATAACAATTTTCGATTGCCTTTCAGTTTATCCCGAGTGGAAACGCGGACGGTTGAGAATAAATTAACTTTTGTTTCCTTTCAGCTCGACCTAACATCTACAAAACAAGTGAATTATTAACAGTAGGGGTTTAAAGGGGTGAATTTCTTCGACTTGGATTACTTACTTAAAATGCTCCTCAGTTAAAACCAAACCAATCTCTTTATTTCCTTATCCTAATTAACCGGCACTTTACTAATTTTATTGAGTACAAGCATGTTTTCTGCATGCGGTGCAATAGTCGTAATGTAATGTACAAATACATGGCTGCAGTATTTATTAACTAAATAAATAGATAGATGAATTAGGGAATGATGCTATTATTGTAAAATATTAGAATTTGCATAGAATATTGTGTAGCTCAGCTACGAATCTCCTTACTGTGAAAAACGGTCGTTGTTAATGCATTAGATAGCGCGATAATAAAAATTCACACTAAATATTTGAAACCTAAATGTATCCGACATCGTTTTCCGAACAATGCTCTAAGCTGTTATTCAATAAAAGTTCAGCTAAGCGGAATGTGAAAGAATCTCTGAATAATATATTACCTGAATCATGGATGGGTAACGCTCTCCATAAAAAAAGGGATATAAATTTTCAGATTGCCAGGAGAAATTCTGAGCTCAGCGGTAAATGTTTCTCTTCATATCTGAATGCAAAATAAATCTCCATTAGGTTTACTATACTTCTGTCGCTTGCTTTATGTAAACTGTAAATATTGCCGGCGAAAATTTGAAAGAGGAAGCACTTAAATCTTGCACTTTTTGACTACCTGCAACGCGGGAATACATCAACCACCGCTAAAAATATAATACGAATGTATATTATACATAATATAATAAAATAACATAAAGTTTAGTTCAAATTTAATATAATAGTTTAATATAAAAATTTAGAAAACATAGAAGTATTTTCTACTCTAGAAGTAACTTTCTCGATTTATTCCTGATTTTAGTCAAATTTTTCTTAGATATTCTTACAATTGGTAACATCTTGGGCATACATTTATCAGTTTAACTTTATTCCCTTCCATTGCGTTATTATTATTAGGCTTAATGAACAGATTTTATCGTTTTTTCATCATCTTTTTGTCATTTTAAGATTGACCAGAAGCTATTATTCTTAAATATGTTTTTCACTTTACTTTTCATAACTTAATTTACATGTGTTTTGAAAAAAATAGGTATGCAACTTTTCAGGGGTGTTAAGGGTAACACCCAGAAAGTGAATTATTGTAAAATAAGATATATTATGATATACGAAGGTCGTGGTTCCTTTATATCTCAGTTAGTACGATATAGAACATTATTGATGAGACCGATTCGTGCTTTTGTGAGGTTGCCAACGAAGCGGGTTGGTAAATCTTGAGGTTTCCTCCCAGGGTTTCCTGTTTCAAAACAAGTAAGATAACGACGAACTTGCTTTAAATTTATGTAATAAACTATTTGTCTCGACATTATGTTATGACTGTTTGCGGTTGCAAACTAAGCGAGTACACACTCAGGACGAAATGGCCCTAAATTGGATTTATTTTCTCAAAAATTGTCCTTACAATGTATATCAACTATCAAATACAACTGCATAATTTTTCTATTTTCATGTTAGTCGAATATGTATTTCTTATACCTACTTATCGTATGATTTTAACTTGCAGAATTCATTAATGTCCGTTTACGTTTATTACCTACCTGCAGTATCGTTGCTTCTAAAAGCTTTTTTTATTACATTAATTCGACTAAGCTAAGAGGTCACAAAAGAGTATAAAAAGAATAAGTTACAATATTAATCTTTATTTATAACTTATAACTTATATTTTGCTTCATATTTGAAGCAAATTTATTTCATTTCATTTATTTCATTTGTTTTGATAGAATTTTCACCCATCCATACTCACTTTGAATTAAAACCTAGACACAAATCTAAGATTTTCTTAAACGTTTTGAAAATCGACTAATTTTAATATTTTCGGAAACCATAGATTTCTTAAACATCATACGGTCTCTTTTTTTGTCCCGCTATAGCAAGGCAAATTCAAAATATGCAAATCCGCAGGCATATGATGGAGGCTTTGAGAAAATCCATTAAAATTGCAAATCTGAAATCTGAGTTAATGTGTTTCGCAACGAGTATAAAAATATAATTACCTGAATATTTCAGTTACTTTTCGGGCAGTGTGATTTTTTTTAAATCCAGTAAGACGTTTTTTTAATGGAAAACTCGAATTGGCGATGGCTACCAAAAATATATCTTTGAAATTAACGTGGTCATTTATTAATAATTAAGCAAATATAATAAAACAAAATTTATTTTTTTGTTTTAATTATAAACTCTAGAACATCAATTTTACATTTTTTCTAATAATCACTATTTTATTCAACATATTAAATGCTATAAATATATTTATAAACACAATAGATTTCTACTTAAACTACGCTATTATTTAACTATCAGTTTCTATAATATTCTCAGTCATAGGTAGGTACAGTTATTTAGTCCTCTAAGGATTTATACACACAAATTTGACTCAATACAAGTTTATTAAAATAATTCTACGAATTGAACCATTAATTAAAATATTTAAGTAAATAATTAAGTTTATTTACATCAAACGACCCTGTTAAACAATATACGAAGAAGGTGTTTTAAGAGTATAAAAAACTTTAAAAATTGGAAGACTATCATACAATATTGAATACGGTCCTATAGTTATGTAGGTCGGTTCTAATGAAGATACGCAAACCTATGCAAAAATATCTCAAAATTCAAAATTGCATTCAATTATAAGACTACGTTATTTCGTATTTATTGTGTATAACAAATTTGGGAATCTTTATTGGAACAGACCAAAGTAGTAAAGTTGTTTTAAGTACAAAAATTTATGGTAGTTAAATAAAAAAATACCTTGATAAAAATATATGTATGTTTAAATCGGATTTAATTGAAACAGAATTTATATTCGCGCCCGAAACTCGAGAAATTTAATTTCAAAAAGCATACAATTTCCATTTAAAGTGTATGTCCATCTGCAACACTTTTAATAAAAATTCGAACAAAGGCTGGAAATCACGAATTAAAAAAAATCGTGGCGTTCCCGGAATCAACCCAGTAACATTTAACAAAATGAAAATACAAAGACCGCGATTTCGGTACACCGCGCTTTTACCACATAATTTATTTCGACCGACTTCGTACTTACCTATTTTCCCTCTTTTCGTTGTGTTTTGTGTTTTAATTCTTATTGCGTTCGTCGGAATCCTAACCTGTTAAAGGGAGAATAATAAGGGGATTAAATGATATTGCTAGTGGGTTAAAGTCAACAGCGGGCCTCTGAAAGCATGAATAAATATGGCGATTTTCATATAATTAATATTTTTTGCCTGTATATATAAGTTGGTAATATTAAAAAGTATAATTTCAATGAATAGTTGAGAAACAAGATATCTTTTTACCTGATTATACTTTCTAATATTTGTATGATTTTAAATAATACAAATTGTTTGTTATTTTGCTGGAGCATTTAAAAGTTTTAAATACTTAAACAGAAACAACATCTAAACAGAAGTTGAAGAATAAGATTTCTGTTTGTATTCACTGCAAGGCGACTTAATTTGTTTGCATTCGGAACGAACCAGAGAACTAATTGAGGCGTGATAAGTTAAATAGCATTAAATAAATTAAAATCGTTGGTTAAATATTCCTTCTGTAATTCTTTGCACATAAATTTCCTCTGTCGGTGTTTAGCGAGCAAACACGGCTACGAAAATTATATTTATTTACTTGCTTAAAATAAATATAAATACTCGTAATTCAGGCTCGGTTTTAAATTGTTCTTTTAAAAGTTTTGCCCTTCGTTGTTGATAAGAATTTAATTGTTTTCAACCGATTTTGAAAAAATATTATTCTCGTGCATCGCAATATATTTTATAAATTGAAAATTCGCATATCCAATTAAACCGTAAATGGGACGATCTTAATAATGAGCGAACAACAATTCATCTAACCGCTCATTTATCATGCGCTCAATGACACACCGTCAAGGGTAAAAAATAGCCCCAAGAATAACAAGCACGAGACACAAAATAATTGATACCGTCAGTTAAGCTTCATGTTGCAGACAAGAAGTTGGTCTGGGAGACGGAGAGATTGCAAAAGACAGCACAGCACCACTACTAAAGTGCAAAAAAACACCAACATTTTTCTTTCATGTTCAGGTTTTTATTAATATCAGCTTAGCTTAAAAGTGATTGTCGCTGTTATTGCATTTTACAAAGTGGATTGTTGTATCGTACAAAATGAATTTGTTACCCTGTAATATAGGAATTTGTATATCTAGATTATTTATTCAGCTTCCCCTAAACTGCTAGTTTAATATACCTACTGTTAAAAAATGAACACATTAAAGAAACAATGAATGGTGCTCGTACTGTCATCTACTATATTCCATCCATTTAGTTACGAGTAGAAATGGTATACGTAATGCAAAAAATAATAATTAGTAATAAAATATGTAGACCATCCCCGTATATATAAAAAACAATTTGTCACTGAAAACAATTAATTATATACTCTGCTTATTTTTCTACGCGGCTGTGTGAAAAATACAAATGTGTTAACACAGAACCCTTCTTAAAGGGTACATTAAACAACTGATGGTTCTCCTTCATATCCCTCGTCTGGGCTCTCCGTCAGCACTTCACTTAAGGAGTCATTTTGAGCAATTTCACCGGATTCACTGTCATTAACATTCGACCTGGACGCACTCAAAAATTGTTGACCTTTATTATCCGGACATTCGTCACTGTTATTATCAGTCTGAGCACTAGCACTACGTTTAGATAAATTAGGGGGTTGCTGATGATAAGTAACGTTCGAGTTTAGAGAGAGGCTCAAATTAGGATCGAGAACGTGAACGTTCGCGGGGACACACGTCGGCCACTGAACCGAACAATAGGGCAAAGATGAAGGAGGCGTCGATTCTCTGATGGTGTCCGTTGGAAAGGACGGTCTCGCTGGATATCTGGAATAAAATTGAAATGGAAATATACACTATATAAACAACACATAATACAGTTATGATGGTGATTATACAATGGGCTCACAATTCGCAGATTTGTCAAATTAATAGGTAGTCGCGCTATCAATAATTAACTCGTGATGCATTATTAAAAGTAACAGGTATCAAAATTGAAGCGTTGTATAATGGAGATTAGGCTTCCATTAATCCGAGAGTGGAACGCATTGTAGTAGTATTATGTTGCATAATTCAAAATAGAATTAGATATTAGCATCATCATATTATCTACGGTACAAATCAGTTAATTAAACAATAATTTCCTCTGCGATCCTTAGACGAAAACCTTCAATTTCAGTTCGAGAAGGATGGAATTTATTAACAAGAATTACGTAGAATTGAGGAAAACTTATAGGGAAATATAATCGAATTATCAATGTTTACAACTATTTCTTTTTATCCGGAAGCGCCGTCGAAGCAGTTTCTCTCTCCACGTACAAGTTCCACGAATTTCCTCCAAAGCAAATAGCTGTTTCTCGATTCCTGTTGCCGCCGGCAATTTATATTATTAACTCGAACGCCGCTTTTACCCAATGCAATTGAATTATTATTCACACTCTAATAGGTTTGGTAAATTTAATGCCTATGTCATTAATATATTTATTTCTAGAGTCGGCAATAATTGCATTGACAAAGTTGCACAAAATATCTATTGCTTATAGTAGATTTGCAGTTAAATCAACTTGTTTACTAGAGAAAATTGTGATTCATTCAATAGAGATTATTGTAGAATGTAGAGTAGAGAATAGGATCTCAAATGAACTGTTGACCCCCGTATTCAGAAGTGTGTTATAATCAAATGGTTTTGTAACCAACGATTATTATATTTTCGAATTTTAAATATGGCAAGTATATAATCGTTGGTTACAAAATCATTTGGTTATAAAACCATTTGGTTATTTAAAAAACTTCTGAATACGGGGGGTGAGTGTCACTCATGTTTAGTTGCAAGTCTGCAATATTGGAGTAAACAGTAAGAATGCTATTGAATAAAAAAGCAAATAGAGTCTACAGTGCTCTATAAAGGCACATAATATGGTAAATTCGACGTGTGAATACTGGAAGCAAGACGCACGTAAGTCTCGCCTTTATACATGACAGCTTCTTTCGTCGTTTTCCAGGCAATATGTACTGAATATTTTAACGCCTTCGACGTGTGAAAAAATTTTAATAACCGAATAAACGCGCTTACCCGTCCGCGGTGTATCTAACGTCAACGGAATTGTCGTACTGCGAATCAACACTTCTTGAGAGAAATTCCGCCTCCCTGGAGATTCGCCTGAACGGATTGGCGGCCGAGTGTCTCTTCAACCTGTTCGACGGCAGCGTTCTGTAATATCCGTCGGAAAATTGTTTCTGGGTTCGGCAAGGCAATTTCGGCAAACCGTAGTCGAGCGGGTATCCTTCGGGATCGACAAAACGTCTGGAAATAGAATTGAAAATTTTGCTTCGGTCATTAGGGATTTTAACTGAATCGGACTAATGGAGATAAGTGTAAATAAATAAAACAAAAATGGGCTTGAAAAAAATAAAGAACTTGCTGCAGCGACAATGGTAGGTATAATTGAAATATTTCTTACCGATTTTCACCTACATACATGCATAAATTCCAGAACGTATACCATAATTATGTTAGACGGTTAGACAATTATGGTGATGTGATTATCTATTCCCTTCTGAGTGAGATTAATTTTGCCCTACTCCTAACACCAGTTGATAAAATAACATGGAATTTTAATGAAGAAGTTATTTTCAGTCAGAATTTCCGGAGGGCGAATAAATTAATGCTAATCAGCTTTTCTAAGCATGAAAAAACTATTTACCAGCATGAGTTTTCAGCTTGTTGGCGAAGGTATGGATAATTTATTTTAGGTATTTTACTATAAGGGAGAAAACAAAGAGGTATTTCTAAAGAAAAATATGATGTTTTACTCATCCTACTCAGTAGGCAGTCATAAAATTAAGAATTACTTACAGGGTGCCGTCTAAAAATTCGGTGCTTTCCCTCAATCTAGCTAGAGGCAATTGTAACGGTTGAATAAATTCGTTTTCAATATTCTGATGATCTTGCCCGTCACCTTCTCTTCGACAGCCTGAAATTAAATAATCTATTTTCATAATCGATTACATGCTTAAATTTTCATTTGAGTAGTGTTTCAAACTGAACGGTTAGTCTCCGTTTATTTTACAACCAACCTCCAACTTGATATATCTATAAATTTCTTTGGGAATATCGAGGATAAATAAAGAAGTGAAAGAAAAACTATCGGAGAAAATGGGTGTGTGATAACTCAACTCGACCGCCTTATCGACTTCAAGAGGCCGAGCGAAAAAAGTTTCCAAGAATACGATTTATCACCGAAAAATTAACAAATGTAGGAAGCTCTAATTGGTAAAAAATTAGAACAATGTCAATATTAAATTTTAACATCGCTGTTACAACCGAGAATAATTTGATTTGTTTTTTTTTGTGTGGAATATTATTTTACCTTTTTAAAATACCCTGTTATTAATGTTCTGCTCTTTCGTTTACGGTATGAAATAAAGTTGTGGTACAAATAACCATTAATTTTTGTGTCAACCTTAACTTGTGACCTGGAGAAAAATGGCTGGTGAATTATTGGGCTGTGTTATAACTGAGAAGGCTGATGTTAGTGCATCTAAATGATAACAGATGCGACATTGAATGAATGATTTCAATTCTAAAAGCTATTTTCTATCAAACAAACTACTCGTATATGTATTATAAATCGATAGCTTCTCGGAGAAGCATTTCTTATTATGTAAGTTATTGGTTTATCAGACCATTAAAGTAAGTTGCAATATTCCACTGTGTTCATAAAGAAATCCTTTTAAACAGTGTTTTCCTTCAAGAAACCTCATTTCCTATCCCAATTTACTACCGAGCTATGCATTTCCTTAAAGGCTTACATTTCATTTACTTCGGAGCCGTATTAATCTTTTGCACTTCCCCTGCAATAATAAAGCAAACAAATTAGCTGCTTTACAAGTTTCCAACTGAACCATCTAACTATTTTCCTTTTTCTTTTTAATAAACTTATTGCAGTAATGCAAACTTTGTAATTTTGGTGTTTAAATTATTAAATCTATTCCTTCTACAGGTTGTTTCGGTAAAAAAATACCGGAACTTATTAAACATTGGCATATTTAACTTATAAACTCTGGTGAAGTTGTTGAAATATGTATCGAAATGAAAGATAGAGCACATTAAAGTTATTTAACTATATTAAAAATACATGGCATTTTTTGTGAGCAAAGATAGTTTAAATAATAACTATTTAATAACCTAGGTCTGGTTTTAAATTTAGAAATACCGAAGATGTCTACAAAGGATTCAATATTAAAAAATCTAATTAAATTTGTAAAGGAATTCATCGTAATTAAACGATGATTTTAATAATGCGATTCGTTAAATTAGTAATAAAGTCAAAAATGATTAGGTAAGGTACTCACCGTTAATTATATCAGGATTTTGTTTGAGTTGAATCTCTTTCAGAGTTTCCAAGTTCCTAATTTGAATTTCGTTTCTGCTGGGCGATAAATTGCTATTCGGCAACTGACACGTAGAAATTTCGTATGCCGTTAGGTTTTCTATTCGCTCTTGAGCAATCGGCTGCTGAAATTAAAATAAAAGCACTAGTTAAATTATTATTAAAGAGCCAATAATTTTACTGCAGCACACTAAGGATGACAGATTATGTGGAAGAGAAACTAAAATGTAATGTAAAAATGTAAAATGAGACGTTTAAAAAAATAAATAAATTAGGTTCTGTAATTAATATTTACCTTAAAGGAATCGTTTAAATTTTTCACTGCTTCTCCTGCTACACCTCCATTATGCGGAATTTGGTTAATTTGATATTCATCGTTGTGAGGTGGATTTTTCTTCCTTCTACTTCGCATTCTACATTTAACAATCAACGCAACTAGTGCAATTATAACAGACATTCCTAATATTGATATTCCAACAATGCCGATTAGAACGTATTCGAATGGAAACGAAACAATAATGACGATCGGATTCTCTTTCAAAATGATCTTTATTGTGAAATTCGATTGGGACACCCCTGCAATATTTTCGGCGTTACAAACGAACGTACCATTATCCTCCGCATTAGCGTTATATATAAATAATTCGCTTTTTTTATTCTCCGTTCCTTCTTCGACGAAGTACAACAGATGCACACCAGGTGCTATCATCGTGTCGTTCTGTAGAATTTGCCCCTGGAACCACCAGGACACCGTGGCTTCTGGTACAGCCTGTACGTGGCACACTAGCGAAACGTTTTTACCTTCACCAATTTCCAAGTAGAAAGAAGTGGGCGATATGCTAGGAAGGCAGGCTAACTCAGGCAACGGTATTGATCTGATGGTCTTGGCTGCGAGACGAGGAGGTCCTTGGCAAACGGGCTCCACCGACAATAGTCGCTTGAAATTTTTTAACCACATAGCCAGCTCCTGAATGTGACAGTCGCACTCCCATGAATTTTTCTCGAGCTCTATGCCCTTCACGTATTCGGGTAGCGTTCGTCCGCCCGGTATTGTTTTCAGGCGATTACCGTCTAAGTGTAACCACTCCAGACTGTGAAGTCCTTGAAAAGCACCTTCCTCGATATCCGATATAGTACAGTCGCTAAGCTCGAGGGTATTGAGTTGCGTTAAGTGTTCAAACGCCGACTTTTTAAGGGATGAAATGGGATTCGAATTTAACGTTAACTTCATTAGAGAGGGGCAGCGAATTAACGTTTCGCTAGGTACTGCTTCTAATAAATTATTCGACAAATCCAGTTCTACTAAATTCGTTAATCCTTGAAAAGCATCCGAGTGAATTGATTTTATCATCGAATGCGAAAGATACAAACGCTGCAAATTCAGTAGCTGCTTCTTGACGAATACATCTTTATGCAGAATTTCCAATTTGTTGCCGGGGAAGTCTAAAACTTGCGTGGCCGGTTCCAGACCGTCCGGAATTTCAGAGAGGTTTTTCTTCCGGCATTCTACTGTTTGCTTTCCATTTTTCCAGAGACAAACACAATACGGCGAGCAGCCAGCTGTCTCTTTTATAAGTTGCAACAACAACATCAAGTATAGTCGCCACAATTTTTTCATGCTGCCTATATTGAAGTCAACAAAATTTTTAATTCACAGTCTTCCATCTCTGATAACCTAAAATAAAACAATAAAAAGGTATTTTTCATCAGATTAACAACGAAACTAAAATATTTTTGGTCATTATGAAAGGTAAAATTATAAACATAGTTTTTTTATATCCTAAAACGAGCATTTGTTCATATATTTGCCGTACAAAACAAAACCAGTGTTTATTTGTTCCGTTTTCCGTTTCCGGGAAACATATTGTCATCATGTTAACCGACTAGATGATAAACGTTTACTCTCTTTTTTAAAAGAATCTTCTGGCGGAGTTGAAAAATGTTGCTTTCAGATACGTTTCTCCATTAAAAGGTTTTATAATATTTCCAAAACATTCTACAGTAAATCAACGATAGATAGATAGATTATACGTAAGGTGTTCATTTTCACTCCACGATCGCGGATATTTTATCGTCCCCAATTTGCTCGAAAAATTTTAATAGGCCACCAACGTAGAGGGTAATTTCTCTGACAAAAAGTAAGGTTTAAAAATATGAAGTGGGATTTTTAACACCCACATCAGGAGTTTTCCGGGTCTGTACTAAATTATCTCGAGCTGCTGCTTGAGATTTTTAAATGAAAAGTTACGACAATGCTCTCAACGATTCTTTGTCGGAAGTTCGGAGGAAACGCGAAGGAGAAAACGATAAATTCCTCACAAAGAAAAACTTGATACTGCTATGTCGTGATGTGAATTAGGAAAGAAATTCGACATTGGGCATGTGAGCAGAGTTATGTGTCTTCAGTAATCAGTCTTTTAAAGCAACACTATCGGCTTTTAGTACATATAAGATAAGTAGGTTTACCTAACGATAAAGCCGCAAGTTTTAATAAATTTGGATTAAATGAAAATGTTTGCTCCAGTTCATGAAACTTTCAATTAAACCTAATACAAATAAATATAGAATATTTACATCATGAATAATAAATAATGAATATTGAAAAGTTTTTGACACTTTCTTATTTCAATATCTTTTAAAACTTTTGTTTTCAGCCATTCGGCTCTTTGAAAATTGTTTACTTAATCTACTTTTTTCTTCAGGAAATTCCTATTTTTGTTGGAAAACGACCGCGTTTTTCACAAAAACTTTGTTTAGGAAAACTTTAATTAAAATCGCAAAAAATTGAATGTTCATTCTTTTCGGGAGAAATATTGGAATTTGAATTATTCCATTAGTTAAATGTTTAATAACACCCGTCATTCAATAAGACAAATCGATATTAAATATTTTAAATTTTGCGAGAGATCAATTTACACCGGAAATTGATGTCGAGTATGATTAATAAATCCGCTGGAGATTTAAAAATCGTAAAAGTCAATCAGTTACTGCATGAAAACGGTAAAACGAAGACAAATGGAGTTTTTCAATGTCTTATAATATAAGTTTTTCTAATTATAATACAGTAGAAGCTGATGTTTGCATTCTTATTAAATTTTTCAAATAAAAATACAAGTTACGTAGTTGGAATAATTGTGGTGTAATAGGGATTTGTTGAGAGCTGTTCTCAAATCTTCTGTTACCTTTTGTTTATCTACCGGGACAAAGGGTCCTTTAAGCACTTGGTGTACGACAAAGGAAAGGAAAATGAGTTTAATTTTGGGCGAGTTAACCAATTTATATTTTCAAATATCCAAACATATGAAAACACATTCATTCAATAAAAGAGTGTAAATGTTGAGTAATGAATTTAACTATATTTTATTTCTTATTTTTGGGATAGGTATAATTCACATGTTGTAGTCCATACATTTGCTGACTTCCTATGGGTTAGACATTTGATTTAAGAGAAATCCTTAAATGGAATATTGAAGAAACGTCAATGTTAGTAAATATACCGCATTTCGCTCATATAGGAAGAAATCTCTAGTCCCAAATAAACAGGATTTCGAAAGAATCTGCCAATCGTTCGTATATTGCTTATCCAATTCTGATGTGTACATAACAGACGCTTCGAATACAAGGCCCCGGGACTTAGAAATACCATTTCAGAAATGTTCTCCCTACCAAATAATGCTGATATTACTCACGACATTATTATATGATGTTTACGATGGATTATTAAAATATTTCAAATAATTTAGTAAGAAAGTCTGGTAACAAATATTATCATAAAATATATTCCAAAAATGTTTTTGGCTTTTTGATAATTTTGTGCTGCTACTCCATGACCCTTTATTTACCACATTAGGTAGATACCTATAATTTAAGTGTTTTTCAACTTTACCCTGTTGCTATTAATGATGATATAACACTTTAATAAAACTCAAGAAAACGCTATAAAGCAAGCTGAAACGCCTCAAAAACTTTGTTATAAATACATTACGTTATTTTATTGGAAAACTATTGAGATGGAAAGTTACTCGTCTTTAGCTCCTTTGTTGTATATTATTCTAGTAATTAAACCTTTTGAAACTTTAGTCCCTATTCTAAACTGTTAAGCTTTGCCGAGTACTTAGGAGATTCAATTTATTCAGATTTAAAATAAATTAATCCACCAAATAATCTCATCAATTATAACTTTGCGATGAATTATAACGCATTCAGAATTTGTGGAAAACGGATATAACTTTACACGAATTTGTGATTATGACGAATTTTGTAACAAAAACAAACGCTTGCTCGAGCACCGAAATTAGCAAAAGGATTTTCGATAAAATAATGTTTTTGTGTATACTACAGTTCCAAATCTTCACAGAGCGATTATAGCTAAATTACAAATAAAATTTAGGTGATATTTCTCGTAGTTGATTTTTTTAGGGAAATCACCTACTCGTTTATTCTCTATATTTATACCTATACATAGTTTTTAGAAAACGTCTACGACCTACATCTAATTATAAAACACTGAAATAAAAGCGAGCTTAAGAATAGCACGTCCGAGATTTAGGTAAATACCTCAGTAAAAAATAGATTTCAAATATCCAGTGAATATTTGTTGACTTGAAGTTAATTTGATTTACTAATTTACGATATAAGTTATTATTAGCTAAATACCTAACTATCTAACTGACTAACAGTATGTTAATAATAATTTTTAAAGTAAAGAGTAAAGAGTCGTATGTACAAATATTTAGGGTGAATAATAAATTGATAACATTCAATAGGCAGAATTCAATAAAGGAGAACGTTGGGGGAAAAGAAGTCTAAACTGCAAAACAACAACCTGCAAAATCAATGCAATTATTCGAATACGGAATATTGATTAGAAGAACCAAAATTTCATATTGAATTGCAATATTGTATTTACTTCTAAATTGCCCCATTGCATTAATTAAAGCGAAATATAGGTACTACACCATAAACTGAGCTAAGAATTCAACGTATAAATCGGTCAATGCACATCCTATTTTGAATTTTAAAGTTACTTATATTTATAATAAAATATCATTTGTTCTACTACTTATTCGTTGGCGATATTGTTCATTTTTCATTCCGACCGCGGCTCATTTAAAAGCTGAGGAAAATGTTCGAATTGGACCTTTCCCGAAGGCATACAAAATCCCTTTCAAATAATAGGGCATCGGTTCGAAATTACTTCCTGGTTAATGACGACAATCGCGCGAAAGAGGTTGTTGCGAACAGAATTTAAGCAAGTCGGTCGCCTATTTAATGAAACATTTACGTGAACAAATTAAATCGGGAGTCGATGAAGTCGGCTTCCAAAAGAATTAAGCGAACACCTTTAGAATTCCTGAGAATTTAATTTGGGTGTTTTGTCACTTTTATAATATTGTACGTGATGTTGAAATCTGATGTAATTAAATTGAAACTTTAAATATTTTGTGTCTTACTTAATTTCAAATTAATTTAATTTCGTTGTGCGTATTTTTGGAAATTTATGCTAATAATGAGATTAGTTGTGAATTTGAATCATTAGGTACATCAGCACGGTTTAGATAATCTGTTCTAATTAAGTTAAAGTATGATTAATAATAAAAAGATTTTTTAGTATCCTTCAGTGTACATTTTATTCAGAAGATACGAATAAATCCTTTTCTCAATATTTTAATAGAAACTGATTTTTTAATTTTACAAAATACATAAAAGGTAAAGAAGAATTTACAGGAATAGTAACGTTATGTCTTAATTTTATACCAGTGAAGGAGCATGTTTAATTAACGCGAATAAAATTTACTTAGGAAACTTATTGTAAAGATTCCTACCAAGATAAGTATAGGTATGCTAAAACGGCATAACTGAGGAACAAAGTGACGTGAAAAATCGCTCAAGGCAGAGAAACCTTTTAGTTAAAACCCAAGTTGTTGTTATCAATAAAGCACAAAGTCAGAAGCAACTAAAACCGACAGCCATTATTTCTTCTCTGAGACTGTTTAGACCTCTTTTGCTAGAATTTTGAACAAGACCTTATTTTAATAATCAAACTGTAACATTTTCAATTTCACAACTATATGAGTGAATAAAATGTTTTATGCTCGTTAAAAGCGCATAATTATCATTTCATTAAAACAACATTGTGTATTCAGCCATTATTTCTACATAAATCGTACACTTGTATCCCCGCGACCTAAGATAACTTTAACGACACTTTAATGCTCTAATTAAATATTCCACGAAAGTTCATAATCGAAAATTTAATAGCACAACCCTCGCGAGTTATGGAGATATCGGAATTCCTGTAAAATTGTCAGTCGAAAAATTTTGATGCGAAAATATTTATATCACAAAATATCAAGAATGAAAGGAATTTTTAATTTTCATTTTACACAGAAAATGTTTACAGTAAACAAGATACAAATCAAAGAAACTACTTAATTATATTCGGTACTTTCATATGTACTAATATCTACTTAATTATTTCGAATTGCAAGTAGGAATCGATTTAAAGTAGTGTGATTTGGGAAATTAATAAAATATACAACCTTTTAAGGAGACTAAATATTTTAGTGAGCAATAAAAAAGTTGACTGTAGTGAAATACGGCAAAAAGGGATTCAAT